CGGACTCGTCAAAGAGACAAGTGAAGCCAATCCCTCGACAAACGTTCTGCTGAAAACGGTTACACTATCAACCCTCTTTTTGTCCTGGCCTATCTAACTTTTCTTTACCCTTTTATCCCATTGACGCCAAACTAAAATTGCCACAAAAGGGCACACATTTTGAAGGCTGAAATGTAAACAAGTGAGAAGTTGTGATAAGGTGCGTTTTACATGGTCTCCCTGAAAACAAGACCAAGATAAGAATAGACTTCACGCTCCTATTGTATTTGCGAAAAATATATTCTTATCCAGAACTGCAGTATAAAACTCGCCTCAACCGGTACCATAAACACCCCCAGCGGGACTCGAAAAATGGCAGTACAGCGTATACTCTTGACACGTTAACCACTACACCACATTGCCACGAGTGCCCTTGCGTCACAGGGCAGATGTGCATGTCAAGTAAGGCCGGACATTTTCGCATATCACATTTTCTGGTGCGATTGTCGGTGAAGCGAAGTTGTCTTTTGCCATAGCAATCTACGGTTTTACGAGACTATCGCTCGAACTGATGTTTGAACTGTAGTTGTCCTATTTCGTTTAAGCTGATGAAGGGCCGGTGGCTGAATTTTAGTACAGAATCTTTATAGAAAAACTACTTATGAAACGAGTGATACCATTTTAGCCTGCATATCCACGAATAAGTAATGTCGCTGATTGCAATGGCAAATAACACTTTGCCTCATCGACGGTCCCACCAACGAATGTGATATGGGAAAATGCCTGACCTCTTGAAATTCACACCCGCCCTGCGACCCAATCGCACTCGTGACAATGCGTGGCGTAGGGGTTAACGTGTCGAGATTATTCGCTGCATTTGCCTAAACCGGATTCGAGTCCCGCTGGAAGTGTTGACAAGATCTATTCGGGGTGGAAACTGCGATCCACCTCAGTCTGAATGCGATTACCTTTAGGGAAGCAAGGCTATGTGAAATTCAATGAAACCATAAAGATTATTCATATGATTATGCGGAAATTTTGCTACCAGTACTTCATTACCTTAAACGACATAGGGTGAATACATCTCGTTTATGTGATCTACTGGCGGTCTCGAAAACCTGCTTATAAATAAATAATAAAATGTGTGAAATGACCATATTTTTATGCGTATAGGTAGCCTATAAGGCGTAACAGTTTGATATTTTTGCCACTTTCTTAAGGTGAAACCCGGCTCTGCTGATGTCTGTCATGTGGCCCATTTTCACTCGAAACGAGAGAGGATTTCTCATGGACCGAGTTAACCTAAACGTAATAGAAAGTATGCGAATAAAAGTTGGGTTTCAAGTGATCTCTTGGTCCATACTTGTTGCGCTTACTTCCATTTAGAGTGAAGGTGTTCGAGGAATATATTCGAAGCTCGATTCCAACAAAAGACGATGGTGGAGTCCTCTTGATCAGTTGTCGAGTGGCTTTACTGCAGCGTTCTTGCTGACGTTGTTTCCAAGGCAATCTCACCGGCTCACCCATAAGTGCTGTATATACACTCTATATGTGAGCCCTATGATGAGGTATAAAATGATTTGGTCAGTTCAAGTCATATGTCAACCTCGAAGTGCGTGAGTGTGTCTGTTTGTGTGAGTTTTAGTGCCCTAGTGTGTTCGTGATTGTACGAAATCCGAAGTGATGGCGGAAAGTAATTAGAGCAGTAGTAGAAAAGTCAAATGTGTACAGAACAAAGTGAATCAGCCGTCGTCTTTTGATGAGGTCGACTTGTTAATTTCTTCAGCAAAATATAAAATTAAATTAAATAAAAGCGTCCAAAGCAGGAGATGACCAGTTGACCGGGTGGACTAACCTCCCGGCAGACCAGCCACTTCAAACACACCTCACTCCACACAAGTTTAGTTAGCCTGAATATGGCTGCGAAGATGATACCATCTGGTCTGATGATGCCTCTGAAGCGGCATCAACAAGAAT